CTCTCAGCTCTATTATAGCCCACATTCTTAGATTTCATCATCTTCAGCAAGTTCACTAAGCTGATCCCTTTGGAACCATCCTTTCTTCCCTGGGGCACAAAAGACTATGTCTCCCTCCTTGCTCTCAATGACTGTGTTGGGTTTAAGAGTCTCTGTTGGCCCTTTGTAGTACTCTCTTTGAACTTTCAAATTTCATCTACACAAATTTCTTTCAATTCTTGTACTTTGATCCCTCAAAAAGGCCCTATGTGTTTTTTTGGTACCAGGAATCAAACTCGGGTCCTTGAGATTGCACAGCAGGTGGCGGAACCACTGAGCTCAATCCCCAGCCCAGCCCTATGTCCTTTAAATTGTCTTAGGTCTTTCACAGGCTCCACTAAGAACACCTTGCTCTAGTTGCAAAGCCTTCATGCTTAACTACTCATTGTAATATTGGCCTGATTTCCCTCAAAGAAGTCTTCATCTAATCCTCCCCCTCAGTATTCCAGAATGAAACCAGAGCCTCTGACTGAGTTACCTTAGCAGCCTTTTCTTATATTTATTTTGTATTAAGACAGGATCTCAGTAAAAGGCAAAGTTGCACAAGCTATGCTTGAACTTGCTATTCTCTTGCCTATAGATTCCACAGTGCTGGGATTATGGGCAGGTACCACCAAGCCTGGATTTCACTAAGTCTTGAAGGCTGACTTCATCCTAAGTGGTCTCTCTCCTCTTTCCTGAGTCTGTCATCAGGAAGCAAAATACTCAAACAACCATTGGATACACAGAAATTTCTGCTCTGTTTTCACACACACACATACACACATAAATCAGCTGTTGTAATTCTGTAACATTTTAATAATTTTCATGTGGCGAAAAATTGCTAAACAACAATATTTCCGGTTTGATTCTTTCTGTCTAATCTCAAGAACTTGTCTCACATTCAAAACTACAAAAGTAATGTGTGAGTAAAACTCAATCAACGGTGAGGAATGAGTTCTTAATTTCAACATGTTCCTAATCCTTTCCTTCTAATGGACATTTGACCAATCTATTAATCTGGAGAAAGCTGAAAAACAGTCAGATTTAACTAGGCGGAAGTTCAGAAAGCTACATTCTGATTGGAAAGTAGTGGTTGAAAAAAGAGAGATAGGATCAGGAAGGTAAATAAAAACTTCTGAGGAGCCACGTAGGATCTTAGAGCTTGGAGTCACTGCTGTTTGGTTTCCTGGGAGCCCTGAGTTCCTGGCCAACCCCATCCACCTCTGGTGAGTCACCACCTTCCAAAGGACACTCATCCTGTCTGCGGTGCCCCCCCCCCGCCCCGCCCCGCCCCGCCCCGCCACGCCACGCCACGCCAGTCTCTCAATGTGACTTGCAGCCTAGGAAGACAAGAATGTTTCCTTTTCTATAGATTCCGATGAACTGATGTAAGAGTTCTGTTTTGCCTCAAAATGTAACTTTGTTTTTATTCTAAACATTTTGACTTTTGCGGTAGTCTCTATCATTTAAAAATTTCTTAACAAAACAAACTTTAAAAAAATATTCTGATTGGAATTTTTACCTGATAAATCTTTTTTTTTTGTTTTTTTTGGTGTTTGGGATTAAGAATAAGGCCAAGAAACCAAGCTTCATCTCCAGTCCTTCTTAGTTTTTTATTTTCTTCTTTTTCATTTTTTGTAGTATTAAGGATTGAACCCAGGGCCTTTCCACTAAACTACACTCCAACTCCTTTTTTATTTTGTATTTCAGGGAAGGTTCTTATTAAATTGCTAAGTGACCAGGCTAAGCTCAAACTTCTGATCCGCCTGCATTAGTATCCCAGAGTGGTGTGGATTATAGGTATGTGCCAATACACCTGGCATATTTTTTTTTAAATTTTGAGAAAGGGTGTCACAAAATCACCAAGTTTCCCAAGCTTTATTTGAAATTAGTTACATCCTCAACTCTTTAATTTTTCTTTTCAGACAGGGACTTGTGAAGTCACCAAGATTCCTAGGCTGAGTTTGAACTTGTGATCATACTGCCTCTGGCACCTAGAGTGCTGGGATTACAGGTACCTGCACTAACATGCCTTTAGGTTGTGCTCCTTCAAATTATGGATCATTTTGATGCTTATTTACACTTTCAGTTTCTCATACCAGAGAAACTATTCGGTATTTACACATGTGTGTCCTATTTATTTCACTTACGAGTATGGCCTCAATGTGGAACCACTTAGATATAAATGTCTCTAGTTTCTCATTCTTTATGGCTGAGTAGTACTCCATTTTATAAAAAAACCCACATCTTCTTTATCCAGTCTCTAGTTGATGGGCATTTGGGCTGTTTCCAAGCTTTAGCTATTGCAAGCTGTGCCGCTATAAACATGGGTGCACATATATCACTGTGGTATGATTCTTTTAATTCTTTTGGAAAGATACCCAGCAGGGGAATAGCTGGGTCAAATGGGAATTCCCTAGTTGTTTGAGGTATCTCCATATTGATTTCCACAGTGGTCGCACCAGTTTGCACTCCCACCAACAATGAAGATGTATAATTGATATTGTGAAATAGGAAGAAAAGGTCCAAAGGAGTAGGGGAAGTGGGAGGGGCAGGGGAAAGAAAAGAAGGGAAAAGAAAAAATATGAAAAAAGGAATAAAAAAGGAAACAAAGTCTTTGTAAATAGAGAAGGGTGGAGAGGGTGAAGGAAGGGCAGGGGAATGGGGAAAAAATAAGAAACAAGGTACATCGTATAAAGGTATAAGATTCCAATGATGAATGTAACTGTTGTATACCTAAGATGTGGGAATAGATTTAAGGAAAAAAAAATATTGATCATTAACTTGTGGCTTTATGAATGTATAAGTGAGACGTTTCTTGTAATTAAAGTTTAAAAATATTGTAGGCAACAATTTTTAAAGTGGAATTGTTTCATCCCTTTCTCTATCCCAAAGTGGTAAATTTGTTTTTGTTTTTTTTTTTTTTGGTACCAGGGATCGAACTCTGGTCTTTGTGCCTGCACAGCAGGTGGCGAAACCACTGAGCTAAATCCCTGGCTCCCAAAGTGGTAAATTTGAAATATGTCAGACAAAGTTATAGAAATATACATCTCTCACGTTTTTCATCCAAATTTTAAGCTACTGTACAATACTGCTACTCAACGTTTACAATTGCTTATTTAAATTCTTTTTTTAAAATTTCACCTAGAGATGGTGGATGAAATGTACAGTGATGTGAAAGGAAGCAATTGAAAGGAAAAGGAATTATTTCCCTGTATACTTCAAAATTTGCAATGAAACTATAATCTTTTCCAACTTGTGATCTATGAACATTATAATGAAGTGGAGATGATAAGAGCACCACAGACCTGTTGGATATAGTGAGGTTTCAGGGCCAGGTGAGGTACACAACAAGACAGCAGTAAACCTGAGAGGGCTGTTAATGGTTTATCTGGGATTTGGCAATAACCACACATGCTGATGACCTTCACCCAAGGCTACAGAGGTCACTGAGTCCAGACACCAGGGGAGGAGGACAGGAGGAAGGAAAAGGATTATGGTACATCCCTTTGTGTTTTCCCTACCCTTCTCCTCCCTGGTGTATTCAGTCCCACTATAATTCATCCTCCTACCTTCAATTCCTGGTCCCACACTCTGCCCTCCACCCACAAACTGCAATACCAAAGCCCAGAGCTGTCAACTGCAAGGCCCGGATAAACTCTGATTAATGCCAGGTGTGCCTGCTGGTAGAGACAGCATGGAAGGATGTGTGAGAACTGGGGTGCAGCAAGATGGTAGGTCCCATCCATATCTAGAAAGCAGATGTTATTCGATTGTTTCTGCACCATAGCACAGAAAGACCAGGCTATACTGAGAGGTAGGGGTTTGGTGGGAGGTAACAGTGAAGCCAAATACCCCCAAACAGAGCAATGGAGAGAGAGAAGGCCAGAGGAGGGAGGAACATACCAGAAATGTGGACACTTAGAAACCTTGGGACTTTGGCAAGCACCCTACTCTCCTGCACCCCAAGTCTTCAATTCAATGCGGAATGACATTAGTGTCTCTGTCAAAGAACTAATGAAGAAAGGATAAAATTGCAAGCCCCACTGAAAACGAAGAGTAGAGTGTTTGCATAACTTGGCCAGAGTCACACCAGAGACATGGCCAAGAGCTGAATTCCAGTAACACCTGTTCCCAAATCTAGGACTCACCCTCCTCTTCATCATATCCCCCAAGCATCAGCTATTCCCATTATAACATTTCCCTGTTCTCACTTTCTTTAAAACAGTTCCTCCACTCTGTCATTCAACCCCCACATCCACCAGCTTCTGATTCATGTATATTCATCCACTAAGATGGATTCCCATCTTGGTAATCCCAAGGTAGTTGCTGAGATTGATGTGTAGTTATACCACTGAATGTCTGTCACTCCCATCAGGTATTGTATGACACAGGGCACCCCAAGGGAGAAACACAGGGATGATCTTTTCTTGTTCTTGCCCAGCCCTGGGTAAGAGGAGAAACTTGCATTCTAAAATTATATGAAAAGAAAACTCATAGCATATATTTTATAGACCCTCCTTAATCTTTGGCAGCCAGAGGTATTGCTGGAGTTGAGAAATTAGGGGACTTTGGCAACATCACACTTCCATACTCTTCATTTTGTGGTCTTGGAGAGATGATCAAAAAATTTCCTTAAAATATCTGGGGATGATATTTCAGGTTCCTCAGTTCCCACTTCCTGATGGATCCAGTGTTTAAGGTGCTATTTGGAAATGGATGGGGTGGAGGTCACCTAGGCTCAGGTTGGGCTATGAGATATTCATTCTTTTGTCATCAGAGACAGTGGTATGGCTTCGGGGAAAAAAAAACATAGAAGAGAATTGGGTTAAATTGAGGACTCTCCTACCATTGCCACACCACTGATTATGGCTGGAAGTTGGTCATGAACGGGTGAAGAAAGGTTTCTCATCCTGTCCTAAAAGATTGCCTCTTTCTCAACTGTTCCCCAGGATCCTTGTCCTTGCAGATTCACTAGAATGAGCGCCCAGGCCCCACCCACCCTCTTTCAGCTAGCGATGCACAGACTGGTGAGGGAAAAGAACTTGGCCATCAAGGCTAGGGAGGACCTGCCAAGAGAGATCATTGAGACACTCTTCATGGAAGCCTTATCCAGGGGACACAATGATTTCCTGAAAGCCATTGTACCAGCCTGGCCCTTCTACTACCTCCCACTGGGGATGCTGATGAGTATGAGGAGGCCAGAGGCCTCAGAAACACACCTGAGTGTCATCCAAAAACAGTCACAGAACCTACAGATCTTACAAGCTGTGCTAGATGGGCTTGATGTGCTGCTGGCCCAGAAAGTTCGCCCCAGGTGAGGTGACGCAGGTATTCTGGAGGGAGGGACAGGAAGTCTGGGAAGGTACAGCATGAATTGGGGAGAGTGGTGGACTGAAGCATGCAGCATAGTCTTCAGAGCCGGTACATGAGAAGAATCAGAGAGGTCTTGGCCATTGCTGAGCCCCTGGGACCTGACTGCTGGATGAGGAAAACTGCTAATGACAAAAGCAGCAATGAAAGGAACAATAAGTCCCTGCCTCCCCCCACAGTCACTAAGAGTAGGAATTGTCTTGCATCAAGGAGAGAAATGGGAAGAGCAAATTATGAAAGAATGGAGAGGAATAGGAATACAGAGGGCAGAAACTGATGTCCAGGGTGAGGACTAAGGAATGGAAGGGAAGCTGGGCCCAGGTCTAAATTCTGAGACTCTTTCCTGGTTTACCTACAGGAGGTGGAAACTGCAAGTTCTAGATTTGCGGAACACACAGCAGGACTTCTGGAAAGCCTCTACTGAAAACCTGACTCAAGCCTGTTCCCCTGTTGCTGTGATTAGGAAAATGGAGAGGACTGGCCCATATGTGGCAGAAAAGCAGCCCCTGAAGGTGACTGTAGACCTGTACCTCAGGGTGGATTATCCAGGTGGATTCTTGTCCTACCTCTTCGAGTGGGTCTACCAGAGGAAAGCTTCACTGCAGCTGGACTGTGGGAAGCTGCCAATCGAAAGCATCATAAAGATCATGAAAACGGTGGACCTGGATTGTGTGCAGGAAGTGGATTTGGGTCCCTTCTGGACACTCTCCAACCTAGCTTATTTTGCCCCTTACCTGGGCCAAATGCAAAATCTTCACAAACTATTCCTCTCCCACATCTCTGGGTCTGACTTCATTTTCCCAGAGAGGAGTGAAATGCTGGCCAACCAATTCATTTCTCAGTTTCCCAAGCTGCACTGCCTCCAGGAGATTTATATAGAGTCTGTGTCTTTCCTCAAAGGCCACCTGGACCAAGTGCTCAGGTACGCTCTGTGCAGAGCACAGTAAAACATTTCTTTGTTCTATAAACTTTAGTGGCCATAGATGGTACATAGTGGCTAGACATACAAGCGATCCAAACAAGAGAGCATCAACACATTCCATAGTGCAATCCTCAGGCCTGAATTGAAGTCTTACATAACTACTGGACTGAAATAGCCTGATTGAAAAGGGCTGTAATAACCAGACATGGGGGCTCAATTACAATGAGGACAGGTTTTTGATTTCTCCAATAGGAATCATATATAGGTTAAGGTACTGAGAAATATGGAAGAGAGGGCATTAAGGAGGGGAAGAGCTCACACTTCACATTCAATGTGTGAGCTCTTCGCAGGTATGATAGGCAGGAAATCTGTCTCTATGTCCTATTATTGGAAATGCTGCTGAGGCACCAGGAAGCACAATGTACAGGTAGGAAGTATAGCAGTCTACAGCACAGGGTGAGGATGAGGAGTGCAGTATTTAGAACGAGGATACATGCACTGTAGAAGACACAGGGACAATTCCAGTCCTCACGGCCAAATCTTGTCTCATATATTCTTACTGCCTGTCTTCCCCCAGCATCATCTGGCCAGATTTATGGTTTTCTGCCTGGGAATGAGGAAAGGAAACTGTAGTGATTAGGGACTCAGCCAGTCACTCAAGTGATGGTGAATGACCTCAGACTAAATTGGGGTGCCTCGAATGACCAGTGCTTTCAACACATAGCATCTATGAGGATCATCAGATGGCTAAAGTGGTGTGGGGCCCTGCAGTCTTCCTCCACCTTGTAATTTTTCCTTACCATCCCCTACTCATCACCATCAATTGTCAGCTCTAACTGCTTTTTTTTTTTCTGTAGGTACCTGAAGTCTCCCTTGAAAACCCTCTCTATAACTCACTCCCAGCTTTCACACTCAGACTGGAAACATCTGTCTCAGTGCCTGAGCCTTAGTCACCTAAAACACCTGTATCTGAGGGGTGTCCGACTGATTGACTTTAGTCCTGAGCCCCTCCGAGTTCTACTGGATAAAGTTGCAGGCACCTTGACCATCCTGCACTTGGAGGCCTGTGGAATCAGAGACTCTCAGCTTAAGGCCATCATTCCTTCCCTGAGCCACTGCTCCAAGCTCACCACCTTCAACTACATTAGGAACTGCATCTCTGTGGCCACCTTGGAAAACCTGCTGCGCTGCACTGCCAGGTTGAGCAACTTAAGACTAGAGCAGTATGCTGTTCCTTGGGAGATATATTGTCCCCATTGTCCTCTCCAGTGGCTGAGGGTGGAGCAGATCCGTGATGCCCTGGTGAGGATTGTGAAGCCATTAAACCATCCAAGGAGAGTTTGGTTCCGTACTACTCACTGTCATCTCTCTGATAATGAGACAACCTATCATTGCCCTGATTACATCCCTATCTAGTTGGATGCACACATTCTCTGCTTCCTTCTGGGCCCTGGGAACACAGAGCCTGTTTCAGTGTGAATGGGAAAAATACAGGTCAGACAGAAGGGAGTAGCATGGTCAGGAGAAATGTTGACATGGAAAGTAGTTGTGTCATTTGGGACATGGACCCTAGGCAGGGTCAGAAATAATAATCTGAGTTTCTAGATGTAAAATTGTGCATGAGAGGTAGGAGGACATAGTCTCTGCATGAGTGGATGTAAAGAAATGATCAGAAATAAAGAGATTCACAGTTTAAACCATTTGATTTTCTCCATGATCAATTTACTTGGCTTCAAGTTTAGAACTAAAAAATCTACAGTAATAGGATAAGAATCTGAGTTTTCTGATTGGTGAGGTTTGGGTTCAGGTATTGACAGCATCAAAAAATGTTGGTGCCATCTTGATCATTTCCTTCTATGCTTTAGTTTTCTCTGGTCAACTGTTACCTCCTTGTTTCTTGGATTTTGTCACTAATCCCCGTACACCTATGATATTAGGGACTCATCTCAGAGTCTTCACAAGAAGATATAACCAAGACTCTAGGCACTGGTAATGCATGGGCCTAGGAGATTAAGTCTTTAGTTCTTGCTTGTGCAAAGACCTTCAATTCACAGAGAGGGCAACTTTCCTGGGGGTGAAGTTACACTAAATTGGTGAGACTGGACCTCACTAATCCAGGCCTGCATTCCTGGTGGGTGACAGCTTTGCTGTAACTAAACTATTTGTGGCCACTAAAGACAAAAAAATTATCTCTTATTGAAATATTCATATCTGATTGGCATGTAAGACTTTATCACTATTCTTCTCTTGTATCAGATGATTCTCTTGGGGGATCTAGTTCATACCAATGAAATATCTTCCTTCATCTTCCTACCAAAAGAGTCTAACATGGCATATTTTGATTTCAGCCTGTCATCAGTGGGTGAATAATGATTACATGCCTATAGGTAGGGGAGTCACCTTACCAGTGGTTCCTGGTCCTAAACAAATGCCATCTAAATGAGGGCTCCCTTCGGGGGATCCTAGGGATCTTCGGGTAGATCAGCACACTTGAGGGAAGAGCCTAGTCTTAGTTACTTTTCTTGTTGCTTAGACAAAATACCCAACACCCAAAGATAAAGGAGGAAAGTTTTATTTCATCTCAGTTTGTAGAGGTTTCAGTCCATAGACTCCAAGGCAGGGTGTTGTGGCAGACAGGCATTGCAGAGGAGAAACATTTCTTGGGAGGCAGAAGGCAACAAAGCAGTGAAGCAGTGAAGAAGCAGCAGCAACAACAGAAGGCCTCTTTCTGTCTCTTATATGCTATCCAAGTTATTCACACTTAGGGTGGGTAGCACCCACAACCAGAATGAGGCACCCTTAATCCTAACATTAAACCATGAATCAATCCCAGCGTTACACACCCTAGGTCAAGCCACCTCTGAAAAGTCCCACCTGTGACCACATAAGGATTTGGGGGCCACATATAGACACAAATCATAACAAGCCTTAATATCCCTGTCAAATGAGGTTAATGATGCACACCCAGCTGGTGGAGTTCCTATAAAAGCCAATGAGATGATGTACTTTTGGACCTTGGCATAAGCCCTAGCATGCAGTAAGAGGTCAATAAATGCATTCTTTTCTTCTTTATCCCTTGTAGCAGAATTTGGCAGCATTTTTTTTTATCATTCAACATTCTCCTCCAGTTCTGAATAGAGGGAAATGATCAAAGACACAGTAAACACAAGGGCACTCAGTTTTACATGCTATCACTTTTTAATCAGGATATTCTCAAAAAAGCCTAATCTCAGCAGCCACCATGCTTGGCAGATAAGGAATGCAGCACCAATTAATCTCTAGTTATTTTAAAATAAAATTTTCCAAGTCATACCATCCTTGTAGCATGTACTGGTAGAGTGGGCCATATGGGTTATATTAGTGTTGAAAGTAGGATCATATTGTATTTTCAAAACTGTACCAGTTTTGGAGAAGTCTGAGTGGACCAGAGCAGTGCAGGTGCACAGGTCCCAGACAGGGAAATACCCAGAAAACAGCCTCTGGACCCACCAGCCCCAACCAAAGGCCACCTAAAAAACAGCTGCACAGGCATGCAGGCAACAGCCAGAAGCCAACAAGATACCATCAGTAAGTGCACACAGACCCCAGCCAGAAGCTGAGTCAGAAAGCAGTGACTGGGGTGCACAGCCCCCAGCTAAAGTCCCTCCCAGACAACAAATATGCAGGTGGGCAGGCCCCAGCCAGAGGCATACCCAAATACCATGCTAATGTTTACAGGTAGAACCCTGTACAGACAGCACCACAATGCAGGAATCCAGAAGACCACTATTTTGAACCCAGGAATTGGTGCAGTAGTAAGCAGCAGAGAGGAGGCCTCTTTGAGGCTTGCCTAGAATTGAAGACCACTGGGCAAGCAAGAAGTCACCTCAACAAAGGCACAGCAGACTGCATCTGTTGAAATGAGAAGACACCTAAACAAGTCTCAAAACCAGACTTCCAGATCACCTAAGGCAACCCCAAAGGACAACAAGATGGAACATTCTGATACTCAACCACCTGGACTCCCTGAAAGGGGAACAAAAAAGGATCTGGAAAAAATGAAATCAGAAATAACTTCTCAGATAACAACAGAAGTTGTGTCCATAGTGAAAGACATGATTAATAAATCTAGAGCAGACACAGATTAAAAAATAGAGGAGCTGAGGAACATGATAGAATCCCAACATAGGAAACAAACGGAATCCATAAAACAGATGCAAACAGATTTCCAGGAGATTAAAAACTCCACTGAAAGTTTATGCAGCAGAATGAGCCCATGTGAGGACATAATTTCAGATATAGAAGACATAATTGCAATTAGTGACCAGGAAAAGAAAAACTTCTTAAAAATACTAAGAAACCACAAGAAATCAATCCAGCAGCTGCTAGATGATGCATAGAAGAATAATATAAGACTGATTGGAGTCAATGAAGAAACAGGAGAGAGTACAATGCCATAAACTGTTCACAGAAGTAATTACAGAAAACTTCCCAAGTAGGAGAAAAGAATTTGACATACAGATAAGTGAGGCACATAGGATTCCAACTAGGTCTGATTAGAGAAAAAGCTACATCTAGGCATATAATTGTGAAGATTCCAGAAACACAACAGAAGAACAAAATCCTACAAAGAAAAGAAACAAACCACATACAAAGAAAAGCCCATCAGAATCACAGCACACTTCACAGCACACAACTTCTAGTCAAGAAGAGCCTGGAGTGAAGTATTTCAAGCCCTAAAAGAAAGCAACCTCCAACCAAGATTGGTGTACCCTGCAAAACTATCTTTCAAAATTGATGGAGAAATAAGATACTTTCATGACAAAGAGCACCCGAGGAACTTCATGAATACAAAATCAGCACTCCAAAAAATTTAAACAATATCCCAAGAAAAGACAATGAGGGTTACAACCCCTGGAAGCCAAGCAGAATGAATCCATCAGGCAAGACAAGAAATTAAATGCAAAGGGGAGATTCCAATAACAGGAAAAGGTCATGACAAGGGTAAGTCAATACATATCAGTTATAACCATCAATGTTAATGATATCAATTCACCAATCAAAAGAAATAGACTGTCAGAGTGGGTCTAGAAGCAAAATCCAACAATGTGCTGCAAACAAAAAACACACTTAATTCAAAAAGAAACTCATACACGAAAAGTTAAAGGGTAGAAAACAACATTCCATGTGATGGGAACATGAAAAAAAAAAGAAGGAATAGCTATCCTCTTTGTAGGTCAAATGGATTTCAAACCAGCACTAATTAAGAGAGACAAAGAAGGCAGCACATACTAGTAAAGGGAACAATCCAAGAGGAAGTGATAACAATCATAACTATATATGCACCAAATATTGTGCACCCAACTACGTAAAACAAATACTAATGGACATCAAAAATCAAAAAGCAGGCGCGGAACACACGCCGAATCAGCCCGCTGCAGACAGGCAGGTCTGTGCACGCCCTACTGAGGTCCTGAGTCACGAGGAAGAAGCCAAATCACCCCATGCACACAGGCAGGTCTGCCCACACCCTACCAAGGTCCCCAGTCCCGTGGAACACACCGAATCAGCCCGCTGCAGACAGGCAGGTTTGTGGATGCCCTACCGAGGTCCTGAGTCAAGCAGAAGATGCCCAATCAGCCAGCTGCAGACAGGCAGGTCTGTGCACGCCTTACCGAGGTCCTGAGTCCTGCGGGAGACGCCAAATCAGCCCGCTGCAGACAGGCAGGTCTGCCCACATCCTACCGAGGTCCCCAGTCACGTGGAACACACGCTGAATCAGCACGCTGCAGACAGGCAGGTCTGTGCACGACCTACCGAGGTCCTGAGTTGTGCGAAAGACACCGAATCACCCCGCTGCAGACAGGCAGCCACCTGATTCCACACTACAAAGACGCAGAGGACACCAGACCACCAGACCAAGGTACTGACTCCCACTGTTCCCTGCCCAGAGGTAGGGGCTTCTGAGCCCTTGTCCCACTGTTCCTGGTCCAGAGGAAGGGG